CCACCCCCGCCATGATTTCACCCTCCCTTCTATCCCCAGCCCCACTGGCAGAATCAGCTTTGAGTAACTGTACAGTTTTTCTCGCTGTTGGAGATTTATTTGTTGGCGTTTCACTTGTTTAATGGTCTGGGCTTATTTTGGAAAAAAAAAAAAACAACATAACAAAAAAAGGATTCTGATCTTTGTTATGCTACATTTCCTTGAAAACCTGGGCCTTTGCTTCTATGCCGTTAAGCTGAGGCCACTGAGTACCGGGGGAATGGAGAAGCTGATGGAGTGCGAAGGGGGCGATGTAGACAGGAGGAGACCATAAGGACTGGGAAGCGGAGAAACGGGTTTTATTAACAGCAAAGGGTTGGAGGAGGGAAGGGAAACGGTGAAAGGCTCACAACTACACCACAGGAAAGCGCCTTCCTGCCCGTAAGGATCATGTCTGCGCCAGCCCGGGGGGAGCTCAGTCACTGTCACTGTCAGCTTCGCTGGAATCAGAAGCTGGGGCCTCACTGCCGTCCTCCTGGGCTGAGTGCTCGCTGCCACTGGGGAAGGGACTGGCGCTGCCGCTGGGGCTGCGGCTGGGACTGGGGCTCCGCTGGTCACCTCCATCGCTGCCACTCTCTGAATCATTGTCACTACCGTGGGCCCGGCCTCTGTCTTCGTCATCAGAGTCGGCGTCCTCTGAATCCGCATCACTGCCGAAGATCTCCTCTTTGTCCCGGGCAGCTCGGGCCTCATCCTCACTGCTCTCCTCGCCGCTACCACTCTTGTCACTTGCTTCATCTCTATCACCCTCTTCCCGCTCACTCTCACTGCCTGAGCGCTCGTCCTCACTGCCTTCTTTCTCACTGCTGCTGTCCTTCTCTTGCTCCTCATCTGTTGAGGGAACAGAAAGAAGTGAGACCCAGTTTTCCACCCTCCCAGGGTTTCCAGGGATTAGCTTATGCAGCTTTACCTGAGCCCCCAGCTTCTTTCTCTTCTGTCTCCATTTCCTCTTCCTCCTCTTCCTCAGGTTCATGGTTCTCCAGCTGGGCCTTCCGTGCCTCCTGGGAAGCAGCAGGAGGGGAGGGAAAGTATTCTGTCAGGCTCCCGTTTCCCTCTTTACCCACCACCACACTCCCCATGGGTTCCCTGAACCAGTGGTAACTGTTACCTGGGCTTCTAATTCCTTCTCATTCATGTCCCGGTGTTTGACCACAAGCAGGGCATTGGTACCCGACTGAACCCCAGCCTTGGCCCTGCGCTTGCTTAGGCGGACCCTGCAGTGGGCAAGTTGGGAGAGGGGTGAGGAAGATGCAATTAAAAATCCCAGTGAGGGGTATGGTTCAACTTGGTTCTTCAATTCCTCACCAATGCTTAGCCCAGAACAGATAAGAATAAATACAGATTTAATAAGGGAGACTAAACTCTGGTTTGGGGCAGATGAGGGGAAAGGTTATTGCTCCCAAGATACCAATTTGATTGCTCTGCACTTTATAAAGTGTGTGTATAGACTTTAATGTGAATTAGTTACCAACACTTAAAAACACAGAACCTAGATCTCTGGTTTAGGGAAAATATGAGTCTATGGCCCCGTTACACAGGCCTCTCAGCCTTCTACAGCATGTCAGCAATAGGTTGGAATCTTCTGTTGAGCTGGATTGTGGTGCCCCTTAGAGAGTGCCAAGAGCTCTAGGTCACCCAGACGCCACCAGCCCATTGTGCCTTCTTTCACATTTCCTCGTTGGCTTACAGGATCAGAATTTGTAATCTCTACTTAAAATTCAAGGTCACACTTTTTCCCAACCCTTATACTAAAGGTCCCAGCCAAAAATAATCTTTTAGCCATCAGGGAAAAGTTTTGGGGTCACATTTTTTAACTTGGGTATCCAGGATTTCATTTTAAATATGCTAATTTTATGTATGATCCCATACTTTAGCTATGTTTACTTTCACATGAAGTCTCTCAATATCAGGAAATTTGGCTGTCTACCCTGCATAAAAGGTCTAAATATCTCTAGTGGGTTACTGTGTTAGAAACAGATCTAGCCCACATGTATGAGCAGGCTTCTGCTAGTCACTTACAAATGCATGTGACAAATCCTTAGGTACAAATGACCTCCAAGATGGCATATCCTAGGGTCTTGACCCTGAAGCATGGGCCCAGGCTACTCTGAGGTAGAAATCTGAGGTATATGCGCTGAGTACCTGGTCTCCAACTCATTGTAGTAAACTCCATCACCCTCTCGGAAGATGAAGAAGTAGTTTTCCTCATAACCCTTGCTAGCTTTGTTCTTCACATTCCAGTTGTACTCGCGAGCAATCTTGTAGTCATATCTGAGGATGAGGGGGACAGGGTTAGCCCCATTTCTTCCCTTTGAGGGAGAAAGAGAGACACACTTCTCAATCCCCAACCCACGCACACATCATCCGGTGCATAGTCCATTTCCTCTTCCTGGTCCCGCTTTCGTTTCTTCAATGTCTCTTCCACAGGCAGGAAGTAGGCCACAAACTGGTTCCCTTCCTCATCCATCATGCCCCTGGTTGGGGGAAGAGGAAGAGCAGTGATAAATGAGGACAAAGGGCAATGAGAAATAGGCCAAGGTTGGCAGCAGGGACACTTACCTGATCATGGCTTGAGACATCATCTCCAATGCAGCTGCACCACTCGTGTCCTTGGGGGCTGGGTCTGAGTCAAAGATTACCTGAGCACATGGATTAATCCACATCTGTTGGACAGAGGACACTGGAGTTAGAAATGAGACGTGCAGAGAGGACAGGCTATCTCGCTCTGCCTCCTGTACCAAATCTGACCTTAAAGTCTGGGAAGACGGGCATGACCTCCACCGGTGTCACTCGGGGCTTGCTGTAATGCTGGGAGATCTAGTAGGGACAAAAACAGGGTGAGGAGGAGGATGAAGAGCTTTGAAGCCACCTCTTTTTCTGCCTCCCCATCTTAGTCCCTCAGTTACCGACTTCTGGGCATCCTCAAAAGTCTTCTCAATGGCTGTTATCTGGCTATCCCTATCTTTGTAAATTTCTTCCTCAGTGAACTGCTGTTTTACAGAAACCCCAATCCTAAGGGTGAAGAGAAAGGCCTTTAGGGACCACTGGACACATCTGAAATTTCTACCTTCCCTCCCTACCTACCACAACTTACTTCACCTCAGGCTTCTCATTGGAGATGCCATAACGGTTGAACTCAGTGGAGATATACTCTGTCTTCCGCATCCATGGCACCACCTTTGCATGCTGCTGAGACCTAAGGTGGAGGATCAGACACTTCAGGACCTCATCACCCTCCTTCCATTGGAGCCAGTCCCCAGTCCCCACTCAGCATCCTACCCCCTCACCTCTTGGAGCTAGTGGGGGCCTGAATCTCTTCTTCCAGAAGCTTCTCATCAGCTGGATCTAAGAGTACTAGAGGAGAGAAAGGGGGTAAGAAACCATGATGGAGGTCCAGGCCTGGCCTTTGCTAGTCTAAAGCAGGTCCTCCCTGCCTCCCTACATACCATTGGGGTCAATGCGGTAGGTGTCAGGGTTGATGAGGTCAATGGTGACCCCCAGGTCTGGCTCAGTCAGGAGGTCATGTTTGTGCTGTTTTTCCAAGGAAGTTGCTTTGTACTGAACGAACCTGGGTAGGGAAACATGCCCATTATGATTTCCTGACTCAGCTTTACCCCTCAAATCCCTGCTTCACAGAGGCTAAACTTCTACAGGGAGGAACTCAAGAGTGGAGTGTTCCCCCATGTCCAAGTCCGGACATTTGCTCTCCAATGGAAAGAGACTTGGACACTGCTTGCTCATTACCAAATGTTTATCAGGCACCTACTACTGTAGTATGTGCAGGGTACTGTTCTAGGCCCAGAAGAGAGAACAATCAACAAGAGAGCAGTCCTTGCCTGCAAGGAGCTCATACTGAGTTGTTTCCCATTCCCAATCTTAAGTCTCACCTGTTCTGGTCGAAAGGGTAGGTAATAAACTTGGGGTCGAAGGGGATGTCAGGGAGGCTATTGCAGTACTTGACTCGGCAGACTACTCCAGATCTAGGAATAGAACAGCTCCTTTAAAAAGCTACTATGAAGGTCAAAAGAAAAAGTATCAAACTCAAACTACAGTAAGTAGAGAG